AGAGCACTGAATTTTTGAGTATGATGAGAGTCAAGGGAAAGTGATTATAATAAATTATCTCGTGACTTTGAGCTCATCTCAGTTCAATTATTAGATTAATGGACCACCCTAGCAACAACTATAGGTATGTTTGTTTAGAATAAGAATTGTGTGAAGGGAACAGAATGAGTGTAAAATTTTGCGTTGTTAAATACCATCGTGATTAACATTTTAAAACTATGCACGCTTCCTCCTCCCATTTTTTTTTTTGTTTTAACAAAAATAAAAAAATTAAACGACATTTAATCTCGTTGTGTTGTTTGTTACAATGATCATGTAAAAGCGCCATTATGTTACCGTAATCCAAGAAGTTCAAAATGAAATTCCAAGTGAATAGTAAGTTTTGTAGAAAACGTCATAATATTTTTTATGAGGAGTGAAAACAATAAATAAAATGAAAAGCATATGAGGAAAATTAAAAAGACTGTCATTTGTATCTTCAATATTATAATATATTCTATTTTCATACAGTTTTGTAGCTTACGGGTCGATAATTGAAAAGGTCGTTGTTAATTTATTTTTCTTTTCCATTGTGCAAAATCAAAGCACGTGAGCTGGATATGTAATATATGTCGATATTACGCGCGTCTATATACAGATGTTCACAGAGTATTTTTGAAAATGGAAAGAAAAGAATATAGCATAGCACGCATAATCATATGTTCACTGATAATTTGTTTTTTTCTTGAGATGTGCAAAATATATAGCAGTGATAGATATCAACTTCACTGTATAGCTATAATGGAACGGTTGATGAATATCACATGTTCATGTCACCGGTATTTAATGATATTTATTTTGCTATTACAAACACTAAATGATAATGATGATGACGATCCTCTCTCATGGTTAATTAAATTAAATTAAAAGACACTATACACACATCATCTCTAATTTGTTCAAATTATTTCTCTATACCACTTTTGTTTGTATCCCTGTCAATTAGTTCTACTTCTATATGCTCGATTATAGAAAATGTAAGTAAATTCAACCTTTTTATTTTTATTCTAATATGACACTTGGATAATTTGACCACTAAGAAAGAGAATACATTCATATCGTACTTGCTATCGTCACCACTTCTCTCCTAGAAGTCCACGAACCACTGCGACAAATTAATTGACTTTCTAAAGTTAAGAAAAAAACATTTTTAAATCTTGTTAAGTACGCATGCTTGTACAGTTTATGATTGTTTATCTGATTGCTTAGAATTCTCGACCGGAGATTGTTTCCTTTCAATAGGATCTATTTTAAATTCTCAGACTAGATGAAGATTTGAGCTATCCTCTATTCAGAGTAAAATAAACACCTTGTCACACACATCACATTCTTATCTTTTTTTTCTGTTTGACATAAAACACAAAATATTCTAAATAAGGTGCCTTGTGTTGGTCACTGAAATCTCTTTCATTTTTATGAGTGTGGTGATGATGTTGATTGTTTAATTGTAATCAAAAAGTAGAAAGAAGAATAAGAAAGAAAAAAGGTAATTTCTTACACGGATAAATGTCAATGTGAGTTAAAACAAAAAGAAGAAAGTGAGACTCTTTTGTTGACTTTCTATTTCGTTTTTGTTCTGTATGTTGCATGATCGAAGGTAGTAATATTAACTGTTTATGATGGCGAATGAAGATGTGCTACCATAATAATAAATGAAAACGTGTATTATATTGTTATTTTTATACCTGAAAAGATAAAATAAAACATTCTTTTGTCTCAGATAAACTTACTATTTGAAGTTTATTCTCATTTTGTTAGATTTTTTGTTTTATTAATTGCGTAATTATATTAATCGTATTAGATTTAATAGTTATAGCTTATGCATCATTGACAATAGAATAGTAGGTAATACAAATGAAGCTTGCTCTTTTCTTCCGATACTCTTGAATGTCCACACAAAATTGAATACTATATAACTGATAAAAATTTTTGTAATTTTTTGCACTTGACTATAAACTTATAAGATGTTTTCGTAATTGTTAACGATAGAGACGAAGTCTATTATCATTCTTTATTCTTATAACTTCTCTTACTGTAGACTAAAAAAATCGTTAGTTTTCATTATTTTTCAAGTTTCACTGGTATTCCAAATATTTGTTCAGTTTGTCTTACGAATTTGAAAATCTATCTTGCATTGATATAATTACACATTATACAGTTTTCAAATTAAATAGTTTTCAACAGTTTTCAATAAATTTTATATTATATCATGAAATATTTGCTGGAGAGATTAATACGTCAATATGCTACTGAATAAGTATGCTATACTTTCTTTTTCATTAATAGTCACAAATTGATAAAGATGAGTCTAGAATTTGACTTTGTAGTGTTAAGTCGACACGTATCGGACTCTCGCCTCTTGTCGTACAGAAGTTAGTCAAAGTCAAAGTGTATTTTACAACGGTTATATAGACAAAAGAAAGAAATTTTAAATCTTTTGATTTGCTTCTCTTCCACATTCGTTCGTATACAAGACTTTATACTTGTTTTAATCGTAATCGATCGTTTTTTGTTTTAGCATAACAAATTGAATTTTTCTCATTCAAGCGTCTCTTTGTTTCTCTGTCGAATTATTCTTGTCTTATTCTCTCATTCTCTTGTTATTTATATCAGGAATTTTGGACGATAATCTCTAATTGCAGACATTTGGTTTTTTATTAACATTTTCTTACTAGTAGTTTCTGAGTTTAATTTGTTGGATTTTCAATTATTTATAAGTCGTTAGACATGCAATTCTGCTTGAAATTCAAAAGAATAGCTCAGAATTTATAAATTGAATTTTAAAAATTGAAAGATGAGCTTTAAACAGGTGATACATACTATTTATCTGTTTTTTGATGGATTTATTTGCGTTTGTTTTTTTTTTTCGTTTTTCAATCATGCTTTTTGATTCCTCTTCTATATATAATATATATATACATAGATATTTTTCTTATCAAACTTTTTTCTATATACATATGTTGAGCGGAAGGAAAAAGAAGAAAAAACCGAACATCACTAACTTGTTTACGATAACGGTACATATAAAAAGAGAGAAGAACAAATGAAATTTCTTTCCGATAGTTATACATTTTTAATCGCATTTGTTCACATTTCATTAAAAAATAATGTATATGTATATATATATCATATTCTAGAATGAACAGAAGAAAGGATTAACATAGAAGACGATTGTAAGTTTTAAAATTAATTTTAATAAACGTTATTGAATATGAGAGAAATTCACACAATAGTAAACGATTTTTATCCACTTTGAAAATGAAAATAATATCCGATAATTTTTTTTGCCCCCGTTGCTTACAATTCATAGACCACTAATATAGATTGAGTACTTTGTCTGAGAATAACAATCATTCGTTAGAGAGAAATAATTTGTTTCAGGTAGATTTTCTCACACACTTTTTATCTATTTTAATCTTATCATGATATCAAAATATCTAAAAATTTAGTGATATATAGCTAATAGACTAATGAAAGATACTGATAAAAAGGTTTATTTACCAATGTCATCTGCTGATTTTCGTTATCAGCTGATTACAAGATTATAAGTCGTATTTTTTTCACCTATTATTTACCTTTTCATTATGTACAATACACACTCTTAGAGAGATACTTGGTAAAATTGTTTACACACTCGCTTCTTTTCTCTTTTTTATTTCTTTTAATTAAAATCGTTTGTGTGTTCTGGTTATCTTTCTATCGGTCTATATCTTTTGTAGTTTATTCTTTTATCAATTTTCAAGTACTCTCAGAAACACACAACTATTTCGTTTATTTCAATTTTCAAACCTAAATGTTGTAGTTAAACAGTGAAAATAAAAGTTTTGCTATAGATATCAATATTGAACATAATTACTATTTCCTATGAAAGATTGAAATGATTCTTTTTGATGTCATCAGCCGACATTTCGTCTAACTTAAACATTTAGTATTTTTAATTAGGAACAAAAATGGACGTCTGTCTCCCTTTAACTCCGTTTATTGATCGTTTTAGAAAATACGTTTCAAAATCAAAATCTTTATCTTATCTATAAGATTATTTGCTCTGCACGACTTACAACTGTGATATTCTCTTCACTACATTCGTGTGTTTTCTATGGTAGCCATATCTATAATCGTAAGATATTGTTCCATTTTTTATAGAGTTGAAGAGAAAAAAAAAGGATTATTTTTTGATATTGTACATGCTACCTTTTCTCTTCTCTTTTCTTTTTATCCTGGTTTATAATCTCCTATATATGTAGAAAAAACAAAAAATATCTAACTATACCGCACGACGTTTGTATTTTCTCTGATTCGCTATTGTAAATTAAAAAAAAATACTACTGACTTAAAACTGTATTTTTCGCTTTTGGAAGAAGTTAATGTAATAAACAGAATATAAAAAACCTTTAATAACCAAATCAGTTATGTTTTGAACTGGTCAGTTTTATTTGCAAAAAAAGTGAAATAATAATAAAAATAATTTAGTTTAATTAAAAAAGTTAGACATAATTAAAACATTGTTTCAAGGTCATTATCGCTTAATAAACAAAAATCTTGCCTTTTTTGACTGAAATTGTGTACCTTCAGAGATTTGTATACTTCAATTGTTTTCAAATAATGAACTGACGTGTTTTAGCTATAAAGATAAAAATAAAATATAGGATTATCAACACTGGTCGAATTAATTACACAACAATGAGATGAACAATATAGTACAGATACTAATTCCATGATTCTTGCTGCGGTTAAAAGTTTTTCACAGGGTACATTTTCAGCTACCCAAGTGTAGAAGTTTGTTCGTATCGTACAATCATGCAATCAGTATCTATGAGTTAAACACAGTTTTTAGAAAGTTAGTTTTCAGTTGATATCAGAACATAGATTTTAATAGTACCATCTTATTAACCTTCTTCATTTTCCTGTCGTTTTATTTGAAAATCATTTTTCTTCGTTTTCTAATTTTAGCTCATCATAGAATGGATAATCAAAATCAAGACATCAATCTGCCTAATACCGTTAATTCACCTTGTTCTCCGTCCAATGAGACTTCAACTATAATTGATCAACAACTGATAGTTAGTACAAATATCGAAAATGGATATCCTGTTCGACAAGAAAATGGACAAAGAAAGACCGGTCCACCACCAAGTGAGAAATAACAAATGTCAATATACTGTGTTTATGTTTAATACTCTTCCTTCTGCTTAGCTTGGCCAACAACAAAATTACCACCTGGTCGTGGATGCGAAGTTTTTGTGGGAAAATTACCTCGTGATTGTTTTGAATCTGAATTATTTCCCATATTCGAACGAATTGGCCAAATATATGAAATGCGTTTAATGGTGAGCTATCGGTTTTCACCTTCTCACAACCAACTGATGCTAATTGACGATATACTTGGCTATGTTTAGATGGACTTTAGTGGATTTAATCGTGGTTATGCATTTATAACATTTACACAACGTGATGATGCAAAACGCGCTGTTAAAGAATTAAACAATTTTGAAATAAGAAAAGGAAGATTGATTGGTGTATGTCAGTCAGTAGATAATTGTCGTTTATTTGTGGGTGGAATACCAAAAACTAAGAAGAAAGAAGAAATTTTAGATGAAATGTGCAAAGTTACTGATGGAGTCGTTGATGTTATCGTTTATCCAAGCGCTCATGATAAATCAAAAAACAGAGGTTAGTATATCAAAAAGTTAGCATAATTCAACACTAGATAAGAAAATTTGTTTACAGTACATACGAATTTAATTGAGAATTTTGTTTTGGTTTATTTAGGTTTTGCATTTGTGGAATATGAAAGTCATCGTTCAGCTGCAATGGCACGACGAAAATTATTACCCGGAAAAATACAGTTGTGGGGACATCAAATTGCGGTAGACTGGGCAGAACCAGAAGCAGAAGTCGATGAAGATGTAATGGCAATGGTGAGTGAAATTTTTATTATGCAATCAAACAGGATATTAACCTTGAGTTCATATATAAAGACAGTTATTCTTTAAATTTTAATAGGACCTTCTTTATTGTTACAGGTTCGTGTATTATATGTTCGAAATCTGATGATGACAACAAGCGAAGAACAAATAAAAGATGCATTTGAAAAAATTAAAGAAGGTTCCGTTGAGCGTGTTAAAAAGTTAAAAGATTACTGCTTTGTCCATTTCAAAGAACGAGATGATGCTTTACATGCAATGCATATTATGAATGGTATTGATATTTCTCTCTTGTTATATCTTTTATTCAGTAATGAAACAATATTTTTCTTTATTCATTTAGGCGCTGATTTAGATGGATCTATCGTAGAAGTAACATTAGCCAAACCAGTTGATAAAAATCAATATTTTCGTTATACTCGTGGTGTTTCTCCGGCAACACTAGCAGCAGCGACATTTGGATTAACGGGAACAACTCAAACAATTGATATTGGACCCTATGCAGCTATACCGTATTTTGCATCAACAATACCCGTATCACCACCGTTACAGGCACAAACAGTAGCAGCCAACGCCGCGTTAACAGCAGCTGTCAACGCTATGCAACAAAAGTACATTATCGTTTTAAGAGCACCTCCCCTTCTTTTTGAAAAATTAGGTACGCCTGAGTAAGGGCAAAAAACTAAAACGTCGAAAGTTAAAATGGTAAAAGTAAAAATGGCGAAAATGAAAATAGAAGATAACGGAAACTGTACATTGGTAAGTCGAATAAGACCTTTTGCCACAAAATTTTTACGGGATGGTTAACGACGAATAGTAATGATTTTTATTTCATTCCCACTTAAGTTACTATATATTCTAGCTTCTCTTGTTCTTCAAAGTAAAATAACTTGATTCCTTTTATTCTAAGTTTATGCGTCTGAAGTGATCAAACTGCTGCACTTTCTAAATAATGCTGCCATCCTCACCCTGAATGAACTAAAAAACATTACCATCTTCGTTAACCATCCCACAAAAATTTTGTGCCAAACGATCTTATTCGACTTTCCGATTTACAGTTTCCGTTGTCTTTTAGTTCCATTTTCGTCGTTGTAACTTTCAGCGTTTTAATTGTTCGTCCTTAGTGACAACAATTCGACCAATTCTATTGCAAAAGTTATGAGTTTTTTAAGTTTTTCATTTCTAAAAATTATTCGCTTCAAACTATTTTTTCTTATACACGGTCTGATAGTAATCTTGTTCTGTAGCCTTCACTCTCCTCTATATGAGGGTATGTTCAATCGAAAATCAAAAAACGTTTTCGAAAATGGAGAAAGTTACTGTTAAAAAGCCTTTCTATTTCAATTTTTGACTCACTGGAGTTGATCATTCGTCTTTTCTACTTAGAAATATTCGTCGTTGTTTAAATGCTACTGGTCGTGTAATATCCACGAATCCCTCAAATACTGTCACTGGAACGAATAACAACAGTAATAGTATAAGTTTAATAACCAATGATGTAAATAGCCAATTATCAACATCTAGTCCAAGAACGTCGACAACTTCCAGACAAAACTCATCATCGTCATCAACCTTACAACCACATCGTGGAGCATATTATGCGATATTAAGACCGTCGTCCAGAAGGAATCCGGCTGATGTAAGTTGAAAGATTCTAATAATTTAATTATATTTTTGCAAAACAGACAACAACAATAGCAATAATATTTTATTTGTTTTTTATTTTGCACGCTCTAATTGCATGACAGACTATGTTTGTATGCAATTCTTGTTTTTAAGAGTAAAGATAATGGAGGGTTTAAGAGTTTTGAATTATTTTGTTGTTGTTGTTACTTTACTATTTTGCTCGTATATTGTGCCAAATACTAACTAATCATTGTGCAATAACTTTTTGTTGACTGTAATCAGCGCCTCGATTTGCTGTCGAAATAAATCAACTTGTATTATAATTGATCAATGTAAAAAATTATAAAATTATTGTAGAATTAATTTGCTCTCTGATTAAATTATTATTTGCTGTAAAGAAATGGGATGAGCCATGCATTTTTTTTTTCAAGTAAAAAAATTCCTCTTAATGTTTCTTAAAAACAAATCGAGACGCTGAATTATTAAACTCGAATAAGAACTATGGCGCTAACATTGCAGACAATCATTCAACCAAGGAGCAAAGCGTTGGATTACTTCTCTCATTTTTAAGAAACCGTTTTTCGAATCATGTTCTTTAAAAATGTTTTGTAGTTCATCAGAAATATACTATTTTCGAAAGCTAAAAGCGACGTGTGCAATTCGTAAAATTCTTTATCCGATATACCATTCTTCGTCTGGATGAACTGAATAATTGAACATTATTCAATTCATGAAGACATTTTACTTATTGTTCTAGTTCTTATTCGAATATTTTCGTCTGTATTTTCATTTATTTTTTATACATCAACGAAAGAAATGCATGGCTAATCGCTCATTTTAGGAAAAATGCCTTGAAGATTTATATAAAGAGACACATGATGCGTTATATTGTTCATCAGCAGCTGCTAATTTGAATGGTTGTGGTCAACAACAATTACCAGCCACAATATTACCAACTGTTCCTGCTACCACCTCCATAATCAATGCAAATGTTGCTGCTAGTACATCTTCTTTTGTTGCTGCTGCTCCTACAATTTCACCATCGCCTACTTCAGTGTACCCATCAACTATTGCTATTGCAAGCAATAGATTTTATAATACCGAGGAGGTAAATCAAATCACTAGAATGTTATTTTACGTATTAAAGTTTATTTGATCTGAGTAGACTGTGACACACTTACTAACAATCGAGGAAAAGTGACGCTTTCATTACCTGTATTCTGCCCTGTCTTTCAGTTCAATAGTCCGTGTCCTACCATTACCCTATGTGCAGCAGCATAAAACACGAACGCCGTAAGGGCTTACTATACTGACAGTTTCAATAAAAGAACGATTAATTATTAAAAATAACAATGATGACGTTGTCGTTTTGTAAGTGTCAGTAAACACGGTTTAATCAATCTTGAAATACTATTGATGGCAAAGTTGCTTTTTGTAAATTTACTTGTAAATAATTATATCTTCTTTATTGATTCCTGTGTTATTGTTATGATCATCTGCCATTATGATAAAGAAATTAAGAACATCAGCTTCTTTAAAACAATTAGTCAAATTCTTTTTTGCTTGTTATGAAAAAGAATTGTGGGATATGGGAATTATTGAAATAGACGATGACCAAAAAATTATATATGTTTATTAACTTCTCTAAGCATACAAAAACGTATAATTTCAGAAAAACAATGTGTACTCGAACCCCAGACAGAAATATATTAGTAAAAACTGAAGAGAACAGAATCTTGGCAACGTGTCTTCTTTTTCGTAACTCATATGAATATAATTAATTTTGTTTTGGTTGATTGATATTTAAAGATTAAATAGTCCGAGAGAATTATTTTGCATGATATATTTATTCTAACCTGATTATATAATTGTAATTGTTGGTGTTTAAATTGCTACAAATGTTGTCTATCAGCTCTTTAAATGACGAAAATATATCTCTGTTAATCGCTCAATAAATTTGCACGTTGATTAGGGCATCTTCTTTTATTTTGCAAATATCAGTTCTATTTGTCCGTTTAATTTATCTATCTCTCTTGCATTTCGGAGCATAACTTTCACTTTGTTTCCCTATTTAGACTGCTCAATTTATGCCAGTTGGTTTCCATCCATCGATGTTTCAACAACAACCGCAAATTCCATTATTTCCACCTCAACATCAAGCTCAAATTCTGTTAGCTCAACATCACCATGGACAACAACCAGTCGGTCTTCATCATCCACAACCTCAATTACCTGCCGGCTTCACATTTTCAGCACCGTTTCTTATTGATCCATCTGTACATGCAGCACAAGCAACACACCAAAATGGTTTATTTAGTTATGGCTATTTAGCATAAGAAACAGGATATAAATAGAATGTACAGTGCGTTTTATTTTTCCTCTTTATAGACCTGTCATTCCTATATTAGTCTACTTTTTCTGCTTACGTTTTTTAAAAAATAATACTATATGTTTTCACACATATACACACACACATACATTAGTCTTTCGGAAGTTGGTTTTTACTCTCCTTCTTATTGTTCTACTTCTTTAGCGTTCTTTTTCTCTCTTAATATTCAAGTTTGTTTTGGTTTTCTCACACATTGTTTTTGTTGTTATTCCATTTTGCTTTGTTTTCTTTTTCTATCTTTTAAAAACGGCGCAGTGTGCGTAAGCATAATTGCAAATGTGTGTGTGCGTGTGTGTGTGTGTGTGTTTGTTTGTTTGTCTATTTGTATTTGTAAGTGTCCGTTTGTGAGAATGGCAGCAAGTATGCAATTTGCAACGGCATTTTTTGTCTGCTGCCTCTATGATGCATACATGTTACTATATATGAAAAGAAAATACAAAAGTATTTTGTTATATATATTAAACAGATAAAAACATTTTCACATGTTTTCCATTACGTATGACAAAGGAACTGTCGGGAGGCATTTTTCTCTACACTGTAAAAGAATAAGTGTCCCAGAGTAGTTTTTAGACGAGGGATGGGACACTTTTCAAAGTGTTCCATTCGTCGTCCAAAATGTTCACCGAATATATGGATGTGGGTGAAAAATATACAAAAAGAAGAGGAAGATGCACGTTATAATCGTGAACAAGAGCTTTTTCAAGGCTTACCTTCAAACAAAATAGCAAAGTCTAGTATAATTCATGAAGAACAGCTTATTGCAGCTAAACAACGATATGAAATAACAAAAGATATTGAAAGTTATAAACGTTCAACACAAAGAAAAGCTTGCTGTTCTTTACATAAACATGAAAAATTAAACAATGATACTGATTCTGATTGATTTGATTTCATGAGAATAAAATATATATCCATAAGTTTCGTTTGTTTTTTCATTCTATATTCTTTTTTCGTTCTTGACTACTAATTAAACTTATTATGTCTTTTAGGATTACAAGAATTTCACATTTTTCGTTTTATTATCTCTTTTAGGAATATAACTTATTATCTCTTTTGGGTTGACTCAGTTTATTATCTCTTTTGGCCCCTAGCCGTTTTTTTACAGTGTAAACTCCCATGAAGTGTGATACAGTAGTACAGGATTAACTATAACTTTAGTACTACTCTCGGCTTGATTAAAAGAAAAAAAAAAGTTTAAATTAAACTGTAATGTCTTTCATTCGACTCCTTCAACAAACTGATTCTTATTAAGTCGACTGAGTGAAACTTAGGATGTTCTAACTTCGTCCATTTACCGTTTCACTCAGTCGACTTTTCAATCTTCCTGCAGAGCAGTTAGTCTCTAGTCTTCTTTCTTTAAGTCGACTGAGTGAAACGATAAGAAGAGGGAGGAGTTTATTAAAATAATAAACTGGTAATAGGCTGTTGACCAAGATGTTTTGCCTTAAAAAATTCAAAGACAACAGATTGTAATGAATGCTTTGCTGTTTTTTCCTGTTCTTTTCAATTGTTACCTGATGGTGAGCAGCATACGGAAAATCATAGAAACGGATTCATCTTATAAAATCTTATAAAAATCATACAAAAATCTTACGAAATCTGACAAAATCTTACTATAAGATCTTACATCCAGAATCGGTTTCTATGTTTCTTACAAAATCAGACGGAATCGTAGAAGAATCTTACAAGATCTCTCAGCAAGATTCTTTGACCTGGATACCTATGCCAGAAAATATTATGAATAGAGAAAGATACTTTTTTAAGCCCAGGTCGAGCAGTCTTATGAAATCTTACAATAAGATCATAGAAACTGTCTCATCTTATAAAAATCATACAAGAATCTTACGAAATCTCGTAAAATTTTACTATAAGATCTTACATCAAGAATCAGTTTCTACGTCTTTTTACAGAATCTTATGAAACCAGACGAAATCACACAAGAATCTTATAAGATCTTACAGTGAGATTCTTTGACCCGGGAGAGTCTAGAGGAAATTTATAGAACACGATCAGGCACATAATGTTATAAAATCTGATGAATTCTTACGTGATCTTATGAGATCTTACAGCTTCATTTGTTATGATCTTATAACATTGTTTTACAAAGATATCATACAAAATCTTACAAGATCCTTTGAAATCTTATAGTTTCTTGTAATAAGATCTTGCAAGATCTTATAAGACCATAGGAAAGCTTGACGTACGATTGCTCGCCCTTGATTGTATTTGTTGACCATTGATTGTTATCGATACTGATACTTTCAATCAGCGTCGTGGATGTTTGCTGAAATGAATCATTTTTGTTTTATTTGCTTGTATTTCCGGACTCCACAATCTACACCATTTCGCGCACTCGTCTACCGATTCTTGTAAGCGTATTGATAAACTTTTTGTTGTATTAGCACTACTCCAAAGCGCAGTATCATCTGCAAACAAGTTACTGTTGCTGTGACTTGGAATGGTAGATAATGAATCACTGGTGAACAATATGTACAATAACGGCGATAGAGGCGAACCTTGGGGCGTTCTGCGTCGCATTGTACATGTTGCTGATATTGTGTATTTGTATTCAATTAATGGTTTTCGATCAGATAAAAATTAGCAAATCCAGATCCATAAGCATTCGGACACATTCATCTTTTTCAACTTGTACAATAGTCCATTGAACCACACGGAATCAAACGCTTGTTTAATGTCAAAGACGATAAGTGCTGTTTGCCTATTTTTATATAAATTAACATCTAGAGAAAGCAATAGCGGAGAATTTAGAAAGTATAGCTGAGTATTTCACAGAAAAATACATAAACAAAAAGGATGTAAAAGCCCCGTAATTTGTGTTCCTTTTGAAGTTCAAGATACCGCAAATGTTCTTCCTCGACACCCTAGTAAAGCAGCTTTCATTCGACTAAAATTAAAACGGCGTCTAAACTATCGCGAATATTACAACTCTAGTGGAACTTCTTGTACCCAAGATCCGGGGAACAGAAATTTCAAGATCTTGAGTGAAGTCATTCAAGATGTTGCAAGAGTTGCTTCAGGTTACTTTTGAATTGAGCAAGATTCAGATGATGACAAAAATGTGGACGATGAAGTGTTTGGAGACGAACAAGATGAGGAGAAAGATCCAAAAATAAAATATTCTATTCCTACTAGCATGTGTTTACAATCAGTTAACCCTGAAGATTATGCAGATTTTGATCAAAATGAAATAGCTGTTGCACCAGCAGAAAAATATAAACCGGCGTCATTATTTACAGAAAAGGATTTGAAAGCAAAAGCATTTCCTCATTTGTTTCCAGAGGGAATAAATACCTATCACTCAGAACATAAACAAAAACTCACTATAGGACTACGCAAATAGCAGATTGTTTAGTACCGATTTTCGGTATGCAGCGGACCCACATTATATTTTTTTTCATACAAAACAATATACTTATCAAGAGACAAGTTTTTTATTCAGAAGTCAGGTCGCTCGCGTTTTTGACAGACGATTTCGATCTTTTTTCCGAGAAACAATTTTATCAAAATTTCAAACTATCGGAAAAGTGCAAGACTATTTATATAGAGTTGAATTTCAGAAGCGTGGCTCACCTCATATACATGATTGTTTGGATAAAAGATACGCCAAAATATGGAAAAAAACACTGATGAAGAAGTAGCAAAATTTATCGATATGTCACATGCCGATTACCATATAAGATAAAAGAGCAAGAAAAAATATGAAGTCATCACTCACAAGCAGACACACTCTTAAAGTCATTCTAAATCTTGTAAACGGCGAAAGAAAGTGTACCGATCCGAAACCAGTTTCGCTCAGAACATTTATTACGAGTCATAATAATTTTAATGATAACGAAGATTGGGTGAAAGAAACAAGAGAAAAATTGAAAGAAATGAATAAAACTTTTTTAGAAATGGAGACTAATCATATTCCTATCACCATGCAAGATTTTGAAAATATTTTGAAAAAGTTAAATTGGACATACGCTAAATATGAAAAGCACTGCACATATTTTTTACGCCCAGAACAATTATTCTCAATTGTGAACCGTCTGAACGCTGGGTAAACAACTACAATGAAAAATGCATAGTAAATTGGGATACAAATATGGACATTCGGTACGTAATGAACACCTACGCATGCGGAAAATACATATTATCCTACATCTGTAAAGTTGAGAAAGAAATCAGTGATATTTTGAGAAATGCACATAATGAGGCAAAACATATAAATTTATCTGTACAAGAAGAAATGAAAGTATTGTCAGGCGTTTATTTTCAGCACCGTGCGGTTTGTGTTCAAGAAGCAGTTTATAGAGTGTGCAGTATATGATTGAAAATTCGAGCCAAAAAGTTGAATTTATTCCAACTGATCAAGACTGTTTTCGCTTGGCAAAGCCTATGAGTTACATCCGTAAATTGATAGAGGAGATGAAGAACATTTGATATGTAGTAATTTATTAGGCAAATATTATGATAGACCAAATGAAGCTACTTTTGATATTTGTCTGGCTGATTTTGTGTCAAAATTTAAAATAATCAATAAAAAAACAGTGAGCGCTAAATCACAGTCACAAATATGGTTTCTAAAAACGTTGGACTTCGGAATATTTCTGTGATTGCAATAGGTAGCTTTTGTCAACTTCCACCTGTTTTTGGTTCATCTTTCTATGTGACAAATAGTATTGTCGATTATTGGACTTATCTTTTTGAATATTCTGAACTGACGATATGTCAGCGAACAAACGAGGCAGAATATTACGCTATGTATAATAGACTACGGAAAAGGGCGAAGCATTCACCAAAGAAGATGAGCGAATGATGCTAGGATGTGTACAAAGGTATATTGAGAAAAAGTACGGTGAAGAATCAACACACTTATTTTCTTGGAATCGATTTGTTGATGATCACAATGAAAAAATGTTGACAGATATATGCGAAACCGTGATAAACATTCCATCAACAAGAATGAGATTGACCGTTAGTAGTTACCCTAGACGAAAATTTTTTAATAAATCTGACAAGAATCTGATAAGATTCTTACCGGTCCCGAAGAAAGTCCCACGAATTCAATAAGGAAAGTATAAGAGCCTTATAAGAAAGTGGTAAGAGTTTCATAAGAAACTGATAAAAACTCTTATGTAATTCTTATCTGATTTATACGAATTTCTTGCGAGAAGCTTATTGGATTCTTATTAGATCCTGGCACCCGACATTATGACACCCGTCTGCGAGGCCATGTCAGAGACAGTTGGTTTAAGAATTCCACACGAAAATCGACAAAATACACATAAACGAAAAAAAGCACTACACAAAAACTAACTCAGAAACGGCAGAAAAAGATGGAAAGTGAGGATGAAATCGGATTGAGACTGATTGGGTAGATGTATAAAAAGCAGTATGGTAGAAGTTAGATGTTCGCTGTCTAATATTAAATTGCCACCTGTTGGATTGACAATTAGTCGACCAGAATGTACCAGTATTAGATAACTAACTCTATATTGTCGGATGGATGATAATAAAATGAGAAAATGATCGTTTCATCTCTGTTTATTTATGCAAAATCATCAGCTTTATATAGGATGAGACATCACACATCTTTAGGAAATATCCCATAGGTGATCGAGGTAAAATGATCGGAAAAAATCCCATCAGATATAATACATATGAACAATAACACTGAGAGAAAGAAAAGTGCTGGTCAAGAGAAAAGATGAAACATATCTTATGTATAAGAAAGGGAAAATACACGTATATGTGATAACAGAAAAGAAAAAATCAAACATATATGAGTCAATAGTAGAATGAAGAAAAATACCGAATATGAACATATACATAAGAAATAAGTGGGTAGAGATATGCGAATTACNGATCAAGATATTTTTAGTTTACCACAACATGCTGTTGAGACGAATATCCAGTTTTTGACTGCAAATAATCGTCACGTTTACACCTTTGCACCATTGCCTGACACACGAATGCAAAACGAACAGTATCATGAATTATTGACAGCGATGGCCACCTATCAACATCAACGGTTAACAGATGCGTCCATCGCCAATGTCAATAAACTGCTAATTCCAATCAACTTGAACACAAATCATTGGACATTAGCCTTGGTTGTCTATCCTAGAGTTCATAAAACGTGTATCAGAATTTATTATATCGTTCCATCAGGCCATTCAGTTCCTCAAGATGTGCGAAATGCTTTCATACATTCTTGTATAATATCGAGCAACTCTGTCATTATCGACCAAGCAATGTCTGAGGGCTGTATTATGATTAAAGGACGGGAGACGATAAGAGCCAAAATCGGCCTCCTTTCAAATTAGTCTTATGTTAGCTCATCTTATGCAGTTTTTGACCGCGATTAACCCTAACATATTTATAGACCTTAAAAATCCTTTTCAGCGTCCCTGGAAACATTTTAGGGAAAAAAACTTTTCCGCCGTTCACCCGAATGTTTTGGTAATTTTGCTAGGCAACGCTCGGAACTAACTCAGAACTAAAGACCAACTACCCTTCTAGAAGATTGGAAAGTCGACTGAGTGAAACGGTAAACAGACGAAATTACAAGAACTAGAAACTGATATCTGTCCATGTATCTTGGTGAACTAAAGTATACATAGAAAAATTAACTTCAGATATGTCATCTACAAATGTCGGAGATTTGATTGATCCTTTTCCCGAATCTCTAAGATCAGCCATAACCTAGAATCAGTAGAAAACCAAGAAAACGGTATGGAAAGAAAGAACTAGATGCCACCATCCCTATGGGCAGATTGAACACCCGACCTAGTGAAACGTATCTTAGAAACCCTTTTGACACCCTTTGAATCTCTTAGATACGATGAGATTCTAGTAGCAAACATATGATGCATTCTATCCGTAATAGTGTTTCAAACTATAAATGCATCAAACTATATAAGTAGCACGTGACTACTTAATGAGTGACTCTACAGTATTCATACTGACTGTATATGAAGTGTCACGTGACAATTAATTATCTCATAGCAAAGTTATTGAGAATATGCTCAACTTTTGAGACTCATTACTTAATAATTAAAACATGTATCGAAAAAATAACTTCAGCTGTTTCATCTACCGCTCTTGTACTCTCGAATGGTCTTTTTCCAATATCTGTACGATTAGCAATAGCTGAGAACGAGTAGTTGACTCGTAGCAGAAAGTAGGATGTGGAAGAAAGAAGAAAGAAAGCAGAATTTTTTGTAGTGATAGAATAAGCCTCTCTGAGTTTCACTTGGTCGGCATAACCAGAGACCAACTATGCTGGGCGGACTCCAATAGACGGAACTAGAGCATCTATAAACTTAAAACCGTTTGACTACTTTTCAAGAAGAATTCCTATATTCCTAGATAAGCTGATGCATTATTGTGTCATATGTTTTACTATAGTATAGCTTTCATCATATACAGTACTGTAGCATATATATATTTACTATCCAGGTAAGCAAAAGACGGGTGAAATGGCTAGCCTTTTTTCCTAGTCCGGAGAACCGTCCCGACTAGTCTTAACGGCAAAAGCGACCCCGTCATGGATCAATCAAAGCTCCGACATTTGTAGATGACACATCTGAAGTTAATTTTTCTATGTATACTTTAGTTCACCAAGATACATGGACAGATATCAGTTTCTAGTTCTTGTAATTTCGTCTGTTTACCGTTTCACTCAGTCGACTTTCCAATCTTCTAGAAGGGTAGTTGGTCTTTAGTTCTGAGTTAGTTCCGAGCGTTGCCCAGCAAAATTCTTCTTTCTTTCTTTCCACATTGTGTTTTCGTGTTCGAGTCAGACACTCGTTCTCGGTTACCTCCGATCGTACAGATTTTGGGAAAAGATGTTTCGAAAGTGTAGGCATTGTAGGTGACACATCTCAAGTTAGTTGTCGGATATTTGCTTTAGTTATCCTATAATAAGTGTCATAAAATGAGTATATTTTTTTAGAAAACTCTATCGTTGCTGCTATGAGATAATTAATCGTCATGTGATGTCTTTCATAGTGAATATATGCTACAGTGTTGATACGATAAAACCGTGATTCACCTCATACTAAATATATGCTACAGTACTAGATATGGTGTAAGCTATACTATAGTAGAAGGATAACAAGATGCCAACTGCCCAACGGGCATATTGGAAACCCGACGGACTGAAATGTATCTCAGAAACACTTTAGACACTGCTTGAATCCCCCAAATACAATTAGAAAACTTCAGTGCTCTACTAGTAAACATATGATGCATTCTAGCGGTAGTAATGTTTCAGACTATAAATGCCTCAGACTATACAGAAGTATCGACTGATAAGTAGTACGTGACGACGTAATGAATAACTCTACACTGTTCATACTGAATGAATGTGAAGTGTCACGTGACAATTAATTATCTCATAGAAATGTTATTGAATATATGTTCAACTTTTGAGACTCATTACTTAATAATTAAAACTTATATCGAAAAAATAACTTCAGCTGTATTATCTACCTTGCACTCTCGAATGATGTTTTTCTCAAATGTGTACGGTTAGTGATAGTATAGCTTTCATTATACCCAGTACTGTAGCATATATTCACTATGAAGTGAATCACGTGACGATTATTTATCTGATAGCACTAACGATACAGTTGTGTCAAAAATATACTCATTTTGTGACACTAATTATACGATAAGTAAAGGAAATATCCGAAAACTAACTTGAGATGTGTCATCTTCCATAATATACAACACGATAATGAATCATCTGATATGTGAATCAGATATGAATCAAATTGTTCTATATTCATCCGGTCATTAAAGGTATGAAAAGGAAGCGTTTGTATGTTATATATGCAGTACAGTATGTCCTAATCACAAGAACTCCTTTGCTTTTGACTTTTTAGTAAAAGGCTGGAGCCACAACCTGAATACTGTTTTGAATAGCCCGACGATTTTCTATCAGATGAGGTGCATATCGCCGTTTGATGAGAAAGCTTGATAACAGGGTTTCTGAAAACCATATCGTTGGTTTTTGGTCAGAAAATTTTGCAAACCATATTGCCTGCTAGAGCATAGAATTCTGAGCAAAATAAGACATCTCCCGGCTGTGTGTAATTTAATAGGAAAAACTGAACAAAAGTTCCCTGACGGCGAGCTATTGAAAAGTCTAGTATTACACCCATAAAATCTGCTGCCAAGCTTCGTTAACCTTCCTATTAATACATCTTGTAGAGTGCTGTTCGCAGACCTCGAGTCGCGAGGCTTGCCTTTGGGCGGGCTCGATGAACCTGACCGGTGATTGTGGGAGAAACACCGCATAAGCCTTTATTATTGCAATTACACACAGTGATATTTTCTGCATCGAAAACGATGACATTTTCTTGCGTTACTTCGCAAAGTTTTCATTTCTGCAGAAAACACATCAAAACAGCAGATGCATGTGATGTTACGCGAGAGACGGAAATTTTACCACAGATTTTTGCAAAAACGGGTTGCGAATTTTTGCAATATTTTGGCTTAAATGTTACTGAAAAATAAACTTATATAAAAGTAACATATACAATGATAAAGGTTTAAGTGGTGTTTCTCCCACAATCACCGGTCAGGTTCATCGAGCCCGCCCAAAGGCAAGCCTCGCGACTCGAGGTCTGCGAACATCACTCTACAAGATGTATTAAAAGGAACGACGAAGTTTGGCAGCTGATTTTATGGTTGTAATACTAGACTTTTTCATGGCTCGCCGTCAGGGAACTTTTGTTCAGTTTTTCCTCTGAAAGTAAAGAGGATCTCTGACCATTCATACATCATTCGACACGGCTTGAAAAAGGTCTACAAGATGTGTTAATAAGAAACTTAACGAAACTTGGCGGCGGTGTTTGGGTATTAAATACTGCGCCGCTTTAACGTAGAATGGATTCAAAAATTATTCGCTACCTTCATTTTCCATTTTTTTCGTCTACCATACTATCTAGAACAAATTTGAAAAGAGATTTGAACAGCTGATAGAATTTGAGTTTTACGTCTAGAACTCTGAAATTAGGGTCAAATCCTGTAAAATAACCATATTTTTACTTTTTAAAATTAAAACCTTGAGAAATTTTACCAGTGACAATTACTTTTCGAAAAGTTCAACTTATTGTGTAAAATTACTTTGTAACATCTCTGAAAATAGCTGGCTGGGTATGTTATTATACTATAGTATTGGAATTCATGCTCCGTACGGATTATAATTGGGTTGATAAATTTCAATAATTGCTTATATTATCCGTAAATTTATTGTTAGACAATTTGGCTAACAATAAATTTACGGATAATATAAGCAGTTATTGAAATTTATAAACACTATAGTATGCATGTTACTAATGGTTGATCTGTTCATACTTGCTCTAGAAGACTAGATATATAAGCCTGACAAAAATTTCTATTTATTGTTTACAGAAAACGACACAAAACAACAATTTAATTACAACATGTTTCTTAATTCACCTACAGAAATAAGGACGAAAATATATCAAACACAGACATTTTGATAAAAAAATAAATAAATTAGAAAAGTAGCGGTTATTCTTGTTCATTTATAGATACTGCTAGAAACCGCCGCATGCCAAACATCGGCAGCTGTCAATGTTATAATAGGTCATCGATTCAATTGTGCTTATTCCATTTGTTGTACAATTCATTTGTACCTGTTGTGGTGTTTCGTTCTCTGGCTGACAACATCTGCAAACGTTATGCTTGCTATCGCCGTGGTCTGTTTCCCACAATCCTGCCATGGTATAAGATATACAACTACCAATACATTGTTGAGCAGGAATAGGTGCCACAGATGTACAGTTTCCGCTGACAAGGTATTCAGCCGGCAGTTGTTGGACTGCGCATAATTCAGCTTCTACAACATCAAAATAAGTTAGAAAATACAGCTTATAAAACGTTTTCTTAGCTCACTTGGCAATTTTTTGCATGTTCCACAACATTCACCATTTGTTGGTAATTCATAGATATAATCGTATAGTGGATCTTGAATTTTTGAGCAAGCGCTTTCATCGATTGCACAATTTGTTACACATTTTTCAGTATTATTTGTACATGTACATGTTGAACATCCTTTTGGATAGGCTGTTTGAACTGTACTGCACGGACGCGTATCGTAGTTCGTTGAATTATCATTACAGTTTGGCCCTTGCAATGTTTGATATCGTGCTTGAGTGCCATTGCACGGTTCGGAACATTCACCAAATGGCGACCAGTCAGACCACTGACATTGTGGTACACACTCAGCAGTTTCACATGTCAAACAACCGTTCGTACATTTGCTGCAATGTAAAAATATTAAAAAATACATATTATACGTGTTAAAATGATTCAATCTCACCATTCTTGACATTTATCAGGAATTGATATACTTTGTCCAGGTAGCACAACACGGCCCTGATATTCACACTGGCATGATGATTCTTGAACACATTGACCGGTACTGTCCATCACTGTATCCGACGGACATACACAACCAGATTGGCATAATTCCGGCTCAGCACATTTTTTATTGCATTGTAACGTCGCACATGTATATCCGCAACTGTTGCTGCAGTTGCTGTACACTTTCCCATCGGAACAGTTTGTTCCTACGATGATAAAAACTTATCATAAACTATGATTTGTTGAAGTACTACTATAATACACACCACACGGCAAAGTGTTACATGGTTCTGTCTGAGAGGAAGGCCCATCACATGAAGTTCCATAGCAGTCTGCTTGAGGATTATTACACTGTCGAGTACGAGTACGTTCACCTCCATTACAATTTGCTGTGCAATTAGACCATACATTCCACGGTGACCAATTTCCATCGACTAAAGTAGCATCAAATTTATAGTTAAAATACAGCGTACAGTTTAATCCGATAACCAAGACAAACCCGGGCAACACTGAACATTGCAATCCTGTACATCTGTCAAGCTATTCGAACAGTTTGGTTGGAATGATGTGAACTTTCTTCCTCTTGTCTGTGAGCCAACTCCGCACGATTTAGTACAAGGCGTCCAATCATCTTAAAGAAAAAATTCATAATACAACTATAAAGATAATACAAAACACTTACCCCAATCTGTCACAACACATTCTCCAATACACGCCGGCATCGTACAGTTCTTAACTTCCGTGTTGGGACTTACACAATCCTCCACTTTGCCAAAGGCCGGTATCGCATCGCGAGAACGTGTCTGAAGTCCATCACCGCCACACGAAACTGAGCATGGAGACCAATCTGACCAAGGCTCATACTGACACCCTTCTAAACCAAACAAAATACGCATTTCAACTATCTTACGATCAAATACGGAAATATCACCAACGAACCAACTTCAACCAATAACACAATCAAAATCTTACCCTCACACAGCCCAGCAACCTTCACAACCTGACCAGACCCCTTACACATCAACTCAAAACAATCAAAAGTATGTATTATTGAATTATTGTCCAAATGATCCCCAACGTAAACCGCCTCTGACACATTACTAAATCCAACCACATTATCTTTTTCCACATAACCCACGAAATCTAAATTAAAAAAAACGATCAATAAAAAAAGAACAAAGACAAGATACCAGCAAATATTACTATCGGCAGGCGGACTCGTCCCAAACACGGCGATGTAATCGTTTCGACTGAAAATGCACGGACAAGCCTCCATCTGACAACTTCGCAACTGAGTCAAACCATCCTGACATGCCCCACCAATCAAATTTCGAGCACGACTCTGACCACCCACTCCACAACTGACATTACAACCAGTCCACTCCGTCCATTCACTGTAAACACAATCCTCCACCACTGCAGCAACACCGGCCAGCTACAAAATAACATATGACGATGATGAAAACGGAAAATCTCAAACTACTATAAAGAAAGATGTGCTTCTCAGTTTCATAAAAGAGAGAATAATTACCGTTGTTGACGATCCGAGAGTGGTTGTTTG